GTGGCCGCACCGACCCTCTGGAATGGGTTACCCACCGGGCTCCGGACGGCCCCTGACCTCCGCACTTTCCGTGCCGAGCTGAAAACATGGCTTTTTCAGCAAATTCCCTGATCTGTTGCGAGACTTTTTAATCGTTTGGGGATTTTTTTTAATTGATTAATTTTAGTATTGCATTGTTGTATTGTTTTTATCTTGTGAGCCGCCCCGAGTCCTATGGGAGAAGGGCGGCATATAAATTTTGAAAAATAAATAAACAAGATAAATGATATAATAAGTCACTTTCTATATACACATATATATAGATGTGAAGATGACAGGGTTGTGAGCCTGTCGAAACGTTGCTAGAAAGAAAAACTTTTAAGGTACTGGTAGGATTTTTATTCCAACAAGCTGGTCTGGCCTAACTCTCCCTTTTAAATTGGGTTTTAAATGTTTTACATAAATTGGATGTTTTTAAATTTGTTTTTGAGCCCAAATTATTTAATCTGTTTTTAATAGCTTTTAACTTTTGTATGTTATTTGTATTTTTATCTTGGCTGTTCACCGCCCTGAGTCTTCTGGGAGTAGGGCGGTATATAAATATGATAAAATAAATAAAATAAATAAATAAATTTTAGCTAAGATTTTAAAGGACCTTGCAGAGTGCTCTGTAAGGATTTGTGGAAGATTTTAAGATGGGATTTTAACCAGAATTTTAAACATTTTAACTAATTTATTTAACATGACGCGGGAAAACACCCGAGATTTTAATTTTTTGCATATACACACCCGCGAAAACTTAAGAAGACAGATATATAGTTATAGATATTTAGTCTGTTCGTTTGGTTTTGTATTGTTTTTTACTGTTTTATTGTTTTGTATATAAATGTATTTTGTATGATTTTACCTTTTTATGTTTAATAAAGTTTGTTTAAAAAAAAAATAAAAAGAAAAAAGAAATCTGGCTGCAGCGGAAAGCATGGGGTGACCGAGCTAAGAAAAGCTAGAGGTGTGACTATCCAGAGATGATGGGCCTAGGACAGTGATGGCTAGCCTTTTTGCTGTCTGTGCCAAAAACATGGGGAGTGTGTGTGTGGGGAGAGGGTGTCACACACATGCGTGCCCACACCCATAATTCAATGTGCCCTGCCCCCCCCCCCACATGCACACATGACCCCCTTGTGCTCCCCCTGCTTTTGGCACGCAATGGCATGGTGGGCACAGCAGGCCCATTTTTCGCCCTCCCCAGGCTCCAGAGGCTTTCTTGGAGCCTGGGGAGGGCTAAAACAGCCTTCCCCACCCACCGTAGGCCCTCCGGAAGTTGGAAACGGCCCATTTCCCGACTTCCGATGGGCCCGGAAGGCCTGAAAAATCAGCTGGCCAGTGCGTGCATATGCGCTGGAGCTGAGCTAGGGCAATGCTCGCGTGCTCACAGATATGGCTCTGCGTGCCACAGTTTCGCCATCACGGACCTAGGAGCTGTGTTGCCCCTTCCAGGAAATGCAATCTTGATTTCCTCCAGTGAGGCATCCTTGGCCAAAGGTCTGCACAAGGAGGAGGAGGAGGAGGAGGAGGAGGAGGAGGAGGTGGTGGTTATCCATTCAGTCGTGTCTGACTCTTGGCGATTGTAAAAGTCGTAAAATGGGGCAAAAGTAGCTTAACAAATGTCTTGCTTAGCAACCTAAGCTTTGGGCTCCATTGTGGTCGTATGTCGAGGACCACCTGTAAAGACTCTTAAGAGAGAGAGAGCTTTGCAAGATGTCGTTTTGGAACCAAGCACATCAGCAGGCCTAATACAGGTAGTCCTTGACTTGCAACCACAACGGAGCCCCAAATTTCCGTTACTAAATGAGGAAGCTGTTAAGTGAGTTGTGACCTATTTTACGTCCTTTTTGCCACAGTTGTTAAGTGAATCTGGCTTCTCCCATTGTGTTCTGATCTGAGTCACGCTGGCGAGGCGATTGTTAGTTCAAGTCAGTTTATTACTCACTTACACAGTGTGCAACAACTCACCAAGGGGTCTGGTTAAGCTCCGGACCACTTTCCCTCAGTAATTTCCTTAAGAAACTAATTAAGGAGAGAAGCAACTTAGAACTAAGGAGAAGTTATGAATGCTCCAACACTGGAAGTTTTTAAGAAGAGATTGGATAACCATTTGTCTGAAGTGGTACAGGGTTTTCTGCCTGAGCAAGGGGTTGGACTAGAAGACCTCCAAGGTCCCTTCCAGCTCTATTCTGTTCTGTTCTGTTCTGTTCCGTCCCATCCCATTCTTTATTCTTACTCCTATATATTAAATATAGGTAGGAGAGCAAACTTTCATCCTATCTGTTAAGAAAGCTTTTGCATCCTTTCGTGGAGTTTAATAGAGCCATGCTGAAAAATCCTATTGAAAGTGAATTTAGCTGCACCTGAGTCCTTTTAGCAAATCCACCCCCCTTCCTTCCTGCGCTGAGATACCCATTAGCATAACAAGCTTCTGCCTCCCCACCACCACCACCGTAAATTCCTTTAACAGCCCCTCTGGATTGTATCATCAGGGCTCATAATCCCAGCACCAACTGCTGTGTTTCTGCACCACTGCAAGGGCCGACACGCCCTGAATGCTAAGCGCTCGTCGCTTACCTGGTGATCCCAGACGTTGGATCAATTAAGGGTCTGCAGCTCTTCCTCAGGCTGCTTTTGAGTTGCTCTGCCCCTTAATTAAGGATTAAGACAGCAGTGGCAAGCTTGGATGAAGAATGAGCTAGAAGCTTTCCTGCAAGTTTTTTTTGTTTTGGCTCCTTCTGTCCAAACTCTAGGACTTATCACCCTTTATCTTGACTGAGTGATAAATCTATGACTGGGTTTAACAATGAAGCTCAGAGGCCACCCACAGTCCTCCTCCTCCTCCCTGCGAGACCCACTACCTTGTAGCACTGATGATGTTACCTAGTTGGGTCATGAAATGTCTGTAAAAAACAACCAAGCTCAGAGAGCACCGATCCCACAGTCCTCCTCCTCCTTGTAACAGGAATGGAAGCAGGGCCTTCTGTCATACTGACTTTCAAGAAATTTTGAAGAAACTTTGGAAAAAGTCCCAGAGAAGAGCAACTAGGATGATTAGGGGCTTGGAGACTAAAACATATACGCCACTCAGGAGCCTGAGTGGCATAGGAGGCTAATGCCTACTAAGGCAGCATTTAACATCCAGCTGCCTGCAATTATTGCGAGTTCAATTCTTACCAGGCTCAAGGTCGACTCTAATGTAAATGAAGTGGGCTCTGATAGATGACCACTGGATAACTTTCTATTCACTCTATTCTAAAAAGCAATGCATCCGGTTGGAAAAAGTACAAACTCAGCCAAAATCCTTTTGGTACCTCTAGGAGGCCTCTAAGTTGTCAGAAGAAAGGAACATTCTAATGACATACAGCTTAAAGGTTGGTTAGGTCAAGGGGATCCACATGAGTTAAAAGTTGTCTGTCATCAGAAGATGATTTGAGTCTATGCTTCAGTAATCTACAAAAAGAATTATAACTGTTGGCAAAGAATAAAATGAAACAGTAATTAGGAAGTGTCAATTAAAAATGACAAATGTATATGATCACATAAACTGCTGAGTTAACAGAATCCTTTGTCTAGAAGGGTATAAAACCATTGTACCTAATTTCTGTCTTTTGTTCAACGCTTCATGTACAGAGCTTTGAACCTATTGCGCAATATACAGATTGTCTCTGATTAACCCAAAAGTTGTGTTGGTCTTATTAAATCCACAACAGCATCAGCCTTCTATCCTTTCTAAGGTGGGTAAATTGAGGACCCAGTTTGTGGGGGCAATAAGCTGACTTTGTATGAATATACAAAAGGATGAAGGCTATTGCTTAGCGCATTGTAAGCCGCCCTGAATCTCCGGAGAAGGGCGGCATATAAATCAAATAATAATAAAAAAAAGAAATAGAAATAGAATAACAGAGTTGGAAGGGACCTTGGAGGTCTTCTAGTCCAACCCCCTGCCCAGGCAGGAAACCCTACACCACTTCAGACAAATGATTATCCAACATCTTCTTAAAAACTTCCAGTGTTGGGGCATTCTGCAGGCAAGTTGTTCCACTTATTAATTGTTCTAACTGTCAGGAAATTTCTCCTTAGTTCTAAATTGCTTCTCTCCTTGATTAGTTTCCACCCGTTGCTTCTTTTTCCTACCCTCAGGTGCTTTGAAGAATAATTTGACCCCCTCAGAACAGCTGCAGGAACTGGGTTTGGCCAGTCTAGAGAAAAGAAGGACTAGGGGGGACATGATAGCAGTCTTCCAGGATTTGAGGGGCTGCCACAAAGAGGAGGGGGGGTCAACCTGTTCTTCAAAGCAGGCAGGAGAAGAAGCAACGGATGGAAACTCATCAAGGAGAGAAGCCACCTGGAATTAAGGAGAAACTTCCTAACAGTGAGGACAATTAAACAGCGGAAAGATTTGTAGGTGCTTCACCAGGGGAGGTTTTCTGAATAGTTTTTATCCCACAGCTATAATTGCACTCAACAATGAACTAAAGGGCCACCATCAAGTGAGCTGTTGGACAGCATTACTTGGTCTGTTGTGTGGATGCTTGGGTGATTTAGGGCTGGGGAATTTGTGGTGGGTGGGAGTGTGTTTGGGGATTGTTATGTGTGTTGGACCTGGTCTTTGGGTGTTAAGAGAATTTCGTTGTAGGGGTATACTGTGTATACACGTACAGTGACAATAAAGTTATTTATTTATTTGATAAGAAAAGGTTGGATAGCCACCTGTCTGAAATGGTATAGGGTCTCCTGCTTGGGTGGGGGGGTTGGACTAGATGACCTCCAAGGTCCCTTCCAACTCTGTGAATCTAATCTGGAAGACCTCCAAAGTCCCTTCCCTCTCCATTCTGATTGATTGAAATTATTAACGGTGTCTCCTCAATGGGGACGTGTAGTGTTTTACACAGATAATGACCTGAGCCTCTTCTCCCTCCTCCCTCCTGCGTCTTGAGCCCTCTCTTACCTGCTGCCTTATTATTTTTCACCAGACTTACATCTTTGACTTAAGCGTCAACAAATACGAACCTATTTGCCACCAGCCTGTGGTAGCCAAGAAACGGAACAAAATCACCCACGTCCAGTTCAACGCCATTTACCCCATCATCATCGTCGGGGATGACCGTGGCCACGTCACCTGCCTGAAACTCTCTCCCAACCTCCGTAAGATGCCCAAGGTAAGTGACTTTGTAAAGGGGGGGTCACACCTGCTCAGGTACTCTCCACCTGGGGGAGTTTCCTGATGGCCTTCATTGAGGTTGGCCATTGGTGGGAGGTGGAAAATGGCACACAGTGCACTTTTGATGCTTGTCTGCACGGCTGCTTATCGTGGTACTCAGCTGCTTTGAAACTCATCGAATTTGGTACTCAAGGCATGTTCACGAGAACATTTTGTCCTGATACTCGTCGTTTGTTTGGTACTCGACACGCAAGCTAGAACTTGTCAGTGTTGGTGGTTGTCTTGTGACTCGTTACACTTCCCAGCCGAAACACAGAGTGATGCGTTAGTCATGTGAGAGCTCTTGGCCTGTGCACATCCTTTTGCATTCTTAGCTTCTCTGGTCATTTTGTGTATTCTTGCGCTCTTTTTTCCTCATTAGTACAAGTAAAGTGATGCTTTTATTTTATTTAATCTAAGTATTTATTAAAGATGATTAGGAGACTGGAGTCTAAAACGTACAAAGAATGGTTGCAGAAATTGGGTACATCTGGTGTAATGAAGAGAAGGACGAGGAGTGACATGATGGTCCTCTTCTAATATCTGAAGGGCTGCCACAAAGAAGAGGAGGTCAACCTATTCTCCAAAGCACCTGAAGACAGGACAGGACAGGACAGGAGTAATGAATGGAAACTAATCAAGTGGAGATCCAACCTAGAATTAAGGAGAAATTTCCTGACAGTTAGAACAATTAACCAGTGGAACAACTTGCCTCCAGAAGTTGTGAATGCCCCAACCCTGGAAGTTTTAAAGAAGAGATTGGACAACCATTTGTCTAAAATAGTATAAGGGTTTCCTGCTTGAGCAGGAGGTTGGACCAGCAGACCTCCGAGGTCCCTTCCAACTCTCTTATTCTGTTATAGCTCATGTAAAGTAATGATGTAGAACTGTATCTTTTTACATATTTCCTTAAAAATATGCATTGTCTTTGATTTGGGAACACGCTAAATTTATTTTCATTAGTCCTTATGCGAAGAATTTGTTTGGTACTCATCATTTTGGGTACTCATCACTCCTCCCAGAACGAATTAAGAATAAGTATCAAGATACTACCGTATTTGCATTTTGAGCTTGTTAGAAGAATTTGAGTTCCCGGTCCGAGCTGGAGTTATGGAAGAATGAATCAGAATGAAATCCGGACACACTGTTTGAACAGGCAAAAGTTTATTCAGGAACATAAAGAACACCCTGGAAGATAGCTACAATTTGAGATGGAGAGGCTATTAGTATTTATAAGTTTCAGTGGTCCTTTTGTGAGGTGTGGGTACCTGTGTGAACGTGCTCTCTGTAACGTTTAATTTCGGGAACATGCAGCTTTGGTGCAAATGTTCTAATCTTATTTTGCTAAAGGTGTAGATCTTTTCCCTTTGATGCACGTCAATGTGCTCATTTCGGTTGCCACCTCTCTGTAGTTCTGTATTTTCCCTCTCTGCTTTTATGTGTGCAGGTTAATTAGTTAATTAATTACAAGAGGAGGAAGTGGATCAGTGATCTTTGCAACACAATTTTCTACTTTGGTTATTGTGGGTCATGTTGATGATCAAAACGAGGGTCAGAGACAGCACAGGAGTAATTTTGAATTAAAGTTCTTTCTTCAATTATTAAAATGCATTCCACAATCTTATTAAATTGAAGTTGGTGATCTTATTTTGGCCCACCAACAAGAGTTAGTTAGTTAGTTAGTTTATTATATTTGTATACCGCCCTTCTCCCGAGGGACTCAGGGCGGTGAACAGCCATGGTAAAAACAATGTACAACAAAAATTGTTGTATACAACAATGTACAACAAAAATGAGGACTTTAAACACAAGGAAACTGGCCATGAAAGATAAGGTTCTATATTTAGGCAAGAAAAACCAAATGCCCAGGTACAGGTATAGGACAGGGTCTCCTGCCTAAGCAAAGGGTTGGACTAGAAGACCTCCAAGGTCCCTTCCAACTCCATTCTTCTAATTCCAATTCTAAAAATTCTGGTTTCACCATTAGATGTCAGCAGAGATATCCTGGCCACTCTCTCTCCTGCCATCTAGTGGTTGTCTATATTTTTACTCTGGATATAGTACTGTATGCCTCGTTTTGCTTTTTTGAGGTTCTGAAATTGCAAATTAAAAGAAAATCAATAATTGAACTTTCATATAGGAAACATAAATTGCTCAAAAAAAATATCACCAGTATGGTGCTATTTTGGACATGCAGCAAATAGGGGGCCAAAGACGGAAGAAAACTTTGCAATTGCAATGTGGTTTTAAATAGAAAAGAAAACATAAATAGATAAAATAGGATTATTGGTAATCCTTGACTGTTCAAAGTTACAATGACACTGAAAAAAGTGACTTATGACATACATACAACTGTTCCAGTATCCCATGGTCGTGTGATCAAAATTCAGTTGCTTGGCAACTGGCATGTACTTATGATGGTTGAAGTGTCCCGAGGTCACGCAATCACCTTTTGCGACCTTCTCACCAGCCAAGTCAATGGGGAAACCAGATTCACTTAACAACCATACCAACTTAACAACTGCAGTGATCCCCTTAAGAGCTTCTGTATTGGAGACAAATTCCTTGTGTCTCCAATCACCACTTGGCCAAATAGCAATCGCAATAGCACTTAGATTTATATACCTCTTCACAGTGCTTTTACAGCCCTCTCTAAGCGGTTTACAGAGTCAGCCTCCTGCCCCCAACAATCTGGGTCCTCATTTTACCAACCTTGGAAGGAGGGAAGGCTGAATCAACCTTGAGGCAGTCAGGATCGAACTCCAGACTGTGGGCAGAATTCGCCTGCAATACTGCATTCTAACCACTGTGCCACCAGGACCCACCCTTCCTTCCTTCCTTCCTTCCTTCCTTCCTTCCTTCCTTCCTTCCTTCCTTCCTTCCTTCCTTCCTTCCTTCCTTCCTTCCTTCCCTTCCTCCCTCCCTTCCCTTTTCTCCCTTCTTATCTTAGCACTTAGCAATAGCACTTAGACTCACAGTGCTTTTACAGCCCTCTCTAAGCGGTATAAAATATTCAATTCAATTCAATGCAACAACTGTGGCGAGAAAGGTCATAAAAATGGGGCAAAACTCACGTAACAACCATCTCACTTAGCCACAGAAATGTTGGGCCCTACTGTGGTCGTAAATCGAGGACTGTCTACACCGGCATGCAAAACAAACAGCAAGCAGGATTTATATCCTTGGACTATTATTGATCTTCTCTTTGTCCCCTTCCAGAGATTGAAAAGCAGTTTGCAATAAATAATGCATTTTAACATACGGGAGGCCTTGAGCCTGTAAACAACTAGTTGGAAACGTTTCCTGTGCCAGCTTAGCGTGATTCTCGGAATGAGATCATGTTCTGCATTTCTGGAGCTGCACGGCGCTCAGGGTTTCAGTGATGCTGCAAAACCACATTGGAAGGCCATAAAGGAAGGTTGTTATGCCAAGGATGTTGATGTGTGGCTGTGCTTTTTTTCTGAGTCATCCAGACAACAATTTCCAATTTCTCTCCACGCTGGCCTGATAAAATGCCCCAAATAATGACATTCTATGAAAGGATGGTGGTTTTGGGGCAGAAGGGCAGAAACCCTTGTTTAATACAAGAGGAACAGATTAACAGAGTTGGAAGGGACCTTGTAGGTCATCTAGTCCAACCCCCCGCCCAAGCAGGAGACCCTGCCTACACTATTTCTGACAGGTTCTGGAACCTGGACAATGGCAGTCCAATGTCTTCTTGAAAGCAGCGGTGAAATCCAGCAGGTTCTGGAGAACCGGTAGCGGATTTATTTATTTTTTTAATACATTCAAGTCTTTTTTTATTTTTCAAACAAAAAAACAACATAAAAGCATCATCCTTTCAAACAATTACAGACAGTGTTTCGGTCCGTTAAAATCTTTTCGTGCTCACAAACTCTTCAAGTTATCAATATATGAAGCATGTTTCTTTTCCACTAAGAAAAAAAAACAAATTTTTACACATTTTATCTTAATTTCATTTCATATATCGTATTTCATCTCCATGTTTTATTATCTATCCATTGATAAAATAAATCCCATATCAAATAATATTGTTTATCTTCCTGTTCTCTTATTTACTCAAATTTACTCATTTCAGCACAATCCAACATTTTCTTAATATTTTCTTCATCATTAGGTAACTTCTCTCCTTTCCAATTTTTTGCAAATACAATTCTAGCTGCTGTTAAAACATTCACAATTAACTATTTCTGACAAATGGCAGTCCAATCTCTTCTTGAAAGCAGGGGTGAAATCCAGCAGGTTCTGACAGGTTCTGGAGAACCGGTAGCGGAAATTTTGAGCAGTTTGGAGAACCGGCAAATATCACCTCTGGTTGGTGCTAGAGTGGGGTGGGAATGGAGATTTTGCAATATCCTTCCCCCAGGAGTGGGGAGGGAATTGGGATTTTGCAGTATCCTTCTCCTGCCACGCCCACCAAGCCACGCCCACTAGAAATAGTAGTAAACAGTAAAAAAAAATTGGATTTCACCACTGCTTGAAAGCCTCCGGTGATGAAGCTCCCACAACTTCCGAAGGCAAGCTTGGAAGTGGGGCTGGTCAGAATAACAGAATTGGGAGGGACCTTGGAGGTCTTCTAGTCCAATCTCTATATAATAAACCCTGCTTCAAACCCCATACCATTCTGGACAAATGGTGTCCAGTCTCTTCTTGAAAACCTCCAGTGTTGGAGCACCCATAACTTCTGGTGGCAAGCTGTTCCGCTGGTTAATTGTTCTCACCGTTAGGAAGCGTCTCCTAACTTGGATCTCTCTCTGATAAAGTTTCCATCCATTGTTTCTTGTCCTGCCTTCTGGTGCTTTGGAGAATAGGTTGACCTCCTCTTCTCTGGGGCAGTCCCAGTATTTGCCACAAAGCAGAGGGGGTCAACTTTTTTTTAATTTTTATTATTTTTTTATTTGATTTATATGCCGCCCTTCTCCGGAGACTCAGGGCGGC